CATCTGCCAAGCTTGGGGAGGGTGTTCAGGGAGTCCGAGGGTCCTGAACGCGCCCCACCCTTTGGCCTGTTCGAAGCCACTCAGGCCTCGGGAAGCCAGCTTCTCAGTCCTACATGCCCATCCTAAGAGACTTCGAGGCAGGGGTGTCCCCTGTCGCCTCTCCCTTTTCCTTTTCCCTCCCAGGATTCTCTCCCTAGGAATTTGTTGCAACAAAAACTGACAAGCACTTGCTGTCCTGCCGTGAGTGAATGGTTTCTACACTGGAAGAATGGAGGCCCGGGTTGGAGATGTCCCTTTTCTCATCTATTTAGAGCACCTTGGGCTGGAGGGGCTTTGTCTCCCTTCCCCTCCCCATCCCCCACTGCATGATCGAGACCCACACTGGAGTCTTGCAACAGGTCAGTGGCCGAGCTGGGCCGGAACACCAGTCCTTGGGCCCAAGCCCCTGGACTGTGGTATAGGTGAATGAGAAGGGTCTGGGGCCTTGCAGGGGGAAAGGCAGGGCTGTATGACAAGTTTCCAGTTATGAGTGGGGCAAAGCTTCTTCGCCTGGGGCCCAGGGAAAGCACCCGGGGCCCGGCAAGAGGCGTTCCCCATGTCACAGGCCGGCTCTGAAGGGGAACTCTGCTGACGCCACTGGGCTCTCCCCTGTGGGAATTTCAGGAGCCTCAACAAGGGGAAGAGGGAGAAGCAGGAACAGAATCTGCTTCCTCCTGCCCACCCTTCCCCTCAGCAGAGCTGCCAACTCTCCCCAGTGCCCAGTGTCGGGGGAGTGGGGTCCAAGACTAGCAGTGGGGCAGTGAGAATGGAGACTGGGTAATCCACACCCATTCTGCCCTCCCCACCCCAGCTCCAGCGCTACTGCCAGATGTGGTGAGGCCCAGGTATGTGGAGGGTGGTCAGGGCCCCTGGGCTGGGGGCAAGAATTGTTGGCAGCCAAATGCCTGGAACCCTGAAGCAGAGGACTCCGGGTGGATGGGGACAGAGACAGAGTCCTTGAGCTGGAGCTGGGGCCCTCCCCGCCCCCCACCGCTCCATCCCCAGCATCAGGGATTTCAGAAGCCAGCCCTCCCAGCCCCCAGTCTCCTGTGTCACTCTCCAGTGTTCTTTGTGAGACCCTTCCACTCCCCTGCAGACCCCTCCATCCAGACTATCTTGGAGAGCTACAGCTAGGACCCATGTAGACCTCCAAGCCCCCTAGGACCTGTAAACTCTGAATCCCTCACAGTGGTGAGCCAATGTGTCTGATGGTGTGCACTGAAGCATGGTGTGTATGCAGCTGTTTGAGAGGAGCATGGAGCATGTGTGTACTGGGAGACAGAGGGGATGCAGGGGAGAGAAGTCCCGAGGACTCCAAAGATTCCTGGGGCTGCGTCACCTTCTCTTGCCTCAGTGTCCCCATCTGCAAGGTGGAAGCACATGCTGCCCACCCACACTGGCTCCAAGGCTCCAAAGCTCTGCCACTGCCTGGCAGCTCTGCTGAGGTCCCTCCCTGCCGGACCAGTCAGCAGGCTGATGCAGCAAAGTCCACAGCAGAGCCAGGGAGTCTGGGCCACAGATCCCAGAGGCTGATATGAGCGCTTATCCCTGGCATCAACCCGGCAAATGATTTAATGGCTGATTCCAGGGACAAATTACAGAGCTTGCTGGATAGTCAGGTCCAGTCTTGCTAACCGGTGGGGCCTGTGTCCCCTGCCATGCTGGGATCCACAGCCCTCCAGCTCCATGGGAAGGAGGAGGGAGGACCACAGCCAGCTGGAATCCCTGACTCAAGAATGAAATCAGCTCAGCCACGTAGGGGACTCCAGACCCCAATGCCCATACTGGACTGGACCTCTTCCTCCCCTTCTATACCTTCTGGAAAGTTCCAAGCAGGGGTGGGAGAGCATTGCCAAAGGTTTACTCTAATGGCACAGTCCCAGCCCTTGCCTAACATTCTGGCCAGGACTAGTGATTTCTTGTTTCTTTCCTTGTTTTGTTTTTTGAGTCTGTTGCCCAGACAGGAGTGCAGTGGCATGATCACAGCATCCACCTCCTGGGTTCAGTTGATCCTCCTGCCTCAGCCTCCTGAGTAGCTGGGACTACAGGCACGTGCCACCATGTCTGGCTAATTTCTTGATTTTTTTTTTTTTTTTTTTTACGATGTCTTACTATGTAGTTCAGGCTGGTCTCAAACTCCTGGGCTCAGGCGTTCCTCCCACTTTGGCCTCCCAACGTGCTGGAATTACAGGCTGGCCTCTAACTCCTGGGTTCAAGCAATCTTCCTGCTTAAACCCCCACTCACCCCACCCACCCCCAGTAGCTGGGACTATAGGTACATGCCTGGTTCAGGACCAGTGATTTCTGCCAGAAGCGGCTGCATAAATGTCACCCACTTGATGCCATTTGCTTTGGGGCTGTCCCCTTTTAATCTCTGGAACAGACTCATGGAGGCTTGACTTAGCCATGAGGGTGAGGGGGCTTCCCTTTGCCTTCTTTCCCTTGTCCTAGACTGGGGAAACCTCATCCCTGATACTGGGAGGGGAAGAGACTCACAAACCCGTGTCCCTCCCTGACTTTTGCTCTGACTAAAGATTCCCCCGACCCTGGATGTTGTTGTAGGTGAATCATGGTGCAGGATATCTGCTCCCCCTTGCCACCTCCTCGAAGACCCCCATTTGCCAGAGCTGACCCTTGGAACCACAGCAGAGAGGAGGCAGGGCACTGGGCACGTGGGTGGAGGGCAGGGTCAGGAGGGGTCTCTGTGAGACCAGAAGCCCACAGGCCTCAGGCTCCAAAGGGGGACCCCGCTTCTCCCCACTGGATGGTGATGGGATGACACGGGCTGGGGTCACCATCCTCAGAGCTTTCTCTGTTTTTGTTTTTGTTGTTTTTTCTGGCCTGGCTGTTATAGAGCAGACACTGTCAAATAAGTTTGGGCTCAGCATTTTTTAAAAATTAAAAGCCGGTGAGACTCAGCTGGAACAAATGATAACGATCCTGCATGTTATTCTTTTTGTAACCATCTATTTTGACGGCTGTGAGCGTCACTCACCTCCTGCCTTTGGGATTCCCAATCTTTCTCCGCCCCCAAAACACATCCACCCAGCCCATGAGAGCAGAGTCCTTCCAGAGTCACCGCTCAAAGCTCTGTGCTGATGTTGCCGGGTTTTCCTTCCTCCTCCTTCCAAACCCACCCCCAAGCAGATGCCCCATGGAGCTAGCGGGGGGTGGGTGGCTTGGCTACAACATTTAGGCCAGAGCAGGTGTGAAGGTGAAAGTGACGGGAGCCACCCCCGGCCCGCCCGAGGCATGAGTCAGGGGTGATGTCAGGTTTCCTGTGCCAGCCTCTGACGAAGATGCGCCGATGCTGTGGCCGCCCCCACAGACTCCTGCCAGGCGAGGACCCAGACCTCACGCGCCACGCTTCAGCAACCGCCCCTCTGTGGCGATGGCGCCATTCCAGCACAGTGTGGGAGGCGGGGAGAGGTTCACCTAGGGCATCCGGCTCTCAGCAAGACCTCTTCCTGGAGCAGGTGAAGCAGGACCCCCTGAAGGCTGGCCCAGAAGTGGACCACATGTGGCCGAAAGGACTGGTGTCTGTTCCCACACTCATATCATGTGTCATGTCATGTGTGTATATAGGCACACAGGGCAGCCCTACTGGGGAAGCGCACCTGCACACAGTGGGACCTCCTCTGGGGGCCTGACGCTCATGCTAAATGTGAGGGGACCTGGGCAGCTCCTCACCCTGGCCCTGCCGCTCACTCATGCCACCCTGAGCTTTGGCTCCTCTGGTATGAACCCCCCAGCAGGGTGCCAGGTGGCACTCAGACACTTCAAGGCAGAATCCAGACACAGCACCAAAGAATTGTAAATCATGTGGTGAGGAAGTTCTGCCTTTTTCAAATCTTTTTCAATCAGCCCTTCTGAGGACGTCAAGAAGAAAGTCTCAGTTTGGGGTTGGCGTGGCTTTCCTGCTTCTCTAAGTTTTGCTTTTCCTTATTTTACAAAGAAACTCGGCATCTTCCCCAAGCATCCCTATCTGGGTTACCCACTTCTTTTGCATTTATTCATTTACTCATCTCTGCATTCTAAAAAATACATTCCAAGTCCCTGTTGTGTGCCAGGTACCCTTGTGTGTGCTGGGGATACAGCAATAAATCCCAAGCCACTGCCCTCCCAGAGCGGACCTCATTGTTTCAATAACATTTTTGTTTGTGATTATGTTGTATCCATGGCAAGTGATACAAATTATTCACCTAATGATATCTT